GTTGCCTCAGCCTCCAGAATAGCTGGGACTACAGGCCAGCTCCCCCATGTCCGACATCTTACAATCTTATGTATGAGTGGTCTGCAAATCAATTTCAGACATTTTAGAACCTAAATCCTATTAGTGCTATTACATCTTAATTTGTAACTCTATTTTGTTAAAAAAAAAGTTAGTTTATTGCTTTCTCCCTGCTAGTAAGTAATACAAACTCAACATAGGACATTTATAAGATATAGGATATTTATAAGATACATAAGGTAGAAGAAAGTAAAAAATAACATGCATTACCATAACTTAGAAACAGCCACTTTAACATTTCGGTATATGTACTTCTAATATTTTTATGAATATTTTCATTTTTTGTAGCTGTGATAGTGTTATATATAATTTTGTAATTTGGCTTAATTTTTTTATTATAACAAACATTTTCCATGCTTTTATGAGCTCTTCATAAACATTATTTTAAAAGCTACATAATGTTCCACTGAATATACCCACCACTGTTTACATAACAATTACTTTTTTTTTTTTTCCTTTTTTCGTGTCCGGCAACGGATCGCAACCCTCGGTGTTGCGCCCGCACCTCGCTCAGCCAGTGAGCGGGAACCGGTCTGTATGTGGGATCCGAACCCTCGGCGGGAGCGCCGCCGCGCTCCCCAGCGGCGGACTGTAGCAGTGTGCCACCGGGCCGGCCCCAACATAACAATTACTTTTCTGTTGGATATTTGTTTGATTTTTCAGTATTATAAATAAAGACCAATAACATTTATGTATAAACTTATTTTTATATTTCAAATTATTTCTATTGAACAGATTATGAGAAGTGAAATTTCTCTACCCTTGTTCTTTATAATACTGCCTCCAAAAAGTCACTTAACAAATATCAAATGGCAATAATATCTCTCTGCATATTATAATGGATTTAATTCTACTCATTACTCTCAGAAAGGTTTAGACAAAAAATACTGTTAAATTATACATGTCAGCCAGTTACACATGTATCAATTTCTCCCTAACCTCCCTTCCCCTCCCCCTTTCCCACCTCTGGTAGCCTCAGTTCTGGTTTCTCCTTTTGAAAGTTCAAGGAATTATTATGATTGCTGTTTCTTTCTATTTTTTTTTTCTTTTTCTTTTCCAGCTCCCACTTATGAGTGAGGACATGCAGTACTTCTCTCTGTACTTGGTTTATTCCACTTAACACGATTTTCTCTAAGTTCATCCATGTTGGTGCAAATGGCAGAGTAGTATTCCATTGTGTATATATACCACATTTTATCCAGTCATCCATCAAAGGACATTTAAGTTGATTCCAACTCTTGGCTACTGTAAATAGGGAGTGGAGGTATCCCTTCAACATGATGATTTCCATTCCTTTGGGCATACACCAGTAGCGGGATTGCTGGATCACATGGTGGTTCTATCTGATGGCACTTCTATCTGTAGTTGTTTCAGGAATCTCCACACTGTTTTCTTATGGTCCCACCAACAGTGTAGCAGGGTTCAACTTTCTCCGCATCCTCGCAAGCAATTGTTATTCTCTGTCTTTCTGATAATGGCCAGTCTAACCAGTGTGAGATGATATCTCAGTGTGGTTTTTTTAAATTTGCATTTCCCTGATGCTTAGTGATGTTGAGCATTTTTCATGTGTCTGTTGACCATTTGTATATCTTCCTTTGAGAAATGCCTATTCAGCTCCTTTGCCCAATTTTTAATTGGGTTCCTTGTTTCTTTTTACTGTCAAGTTGTTTTAAGAGTTACTTGTATATTCTGGATATTAATCTCTTGTCAGATGCACAGTTTGCAAATATTTTTTTCCCATTCTGTAGGCTGTCCTTTTGCTGTTAACTGCTTCTTTTGTTGTGTAGAAGAAACTTTTTAGTTTGATATAACCCTTTGTTTATTTTTTTCTTTTGCTGCCTGTGCTTTTGGGGTCTTATTCACAAAGTCATTGCCCATTTTTACATCCTGAAGTGTTTCTCCTATGTTTTTTTTTTTTTATGAGTTTTATAGTTTTAGGTCTTATATTTAAGTCTTCAATCCATTTTGAGTTGATTTTGGTATATGGCGAGAGGTACAGGCCTAGTTTCGTTCTTCTACATATGGATGTCCAGTTTTCCCAGCACCACTCACTGAAGAGGCCGTCCTTTCCTCACTGAATGCTCCTGTTGCCTTTGTCAAATATCAGTTGGCTGTTATGTATATGGATTGATTTCTGGGTTCTCTATTCTGTCCCATTGGCCCGAGTGTCTGTTTTTATGCCAGTACCATGCTGGTTTGGTTACTATAGGTTCGTTATATGATTTGAAGTCAGGTAGTGTAATGCTTCAGGCTTTATTTTTTTTGGTCAGGACTGCTTTCATTATTTGGGGTCTTTTGTTGTTCCATGTGAATGTTAGGATTGTTTTTTCTATTTCTCTGAAGAATGTCCCTGGTAATTTGACGGGCTTTGCATTGAATCTATAGATTGCTTTGGGTAGTATGGATATTTTCACAATGTTAATTCTTCCAATCCAAGAGCATGAAATATCTTTCCATCTTTTTGGGTCCTCTTTAATTTCTTTCAGCAGTAATTTGTAGTTCTCACTGCAGCGATCTTTAATCTCCTTAGTTAAACTGACTCCTAGATATCTTATTTATTTGGTAACTACTGTAAATGGGCTTGCTTTCTTATTTCTATTTTCTGCTAGTTTGTTACTGGAGTATAAAAACGCTACTGACTTTTGCATGTTGATTTTGTATCCCTCAAGTTTACTGAAATTGTTTATCAGCTCTTTGAGTTTTTTGGTAGAGTCTTTAGGTTTTTCTATATATAGGATCATGTCATCTGCAAACAGGGACAGTTTGACTTCATCTTTTCCAATCTGGATACCTGTTATTCTTCCTTTTGTCTGATTGCTCTGACTAGTACTTTCAATACTACATTGAATAGGAGTGGTGACAGTGGGCACCCTTGTCTTGTCCCTGTTCATTCAGGATAATACTAGCAGTGGTTTGTCATATATGGCTTTTATCATGTTGGGATACTTTCCTTCTATACCTAATTTGCTGAGAGTTTTTATCATGAAGGGATGTTCAATTTTGACAAATGTTTTCTGTATCTATTTAGATAATCATATGGTTTTTATCCTTGATTTTGTTGATGTGGTGTATCACATTTTTGATGTGTTAACGTATTCTGATTGCTACTGCTTTGTTGAGGATTTTTGCACCTATGTTCATCAGAGATATTTGCCTGTAGTTTTCTTTTTTTGTAGTAAATTGTCTGGTTTTGGTATCAGGGTGATGCTGGCCACATAGAATGAGTTTGGGAGAATGGGCTTCTGTTTCAATTTTTTGGAATAGTTTGAAGAGAATTGGTATTAATTCCTCTTTAAGGTTTGGTAGAATTCAGCAGTAAAGCCATCTAATCCTGGATTTTTCTCTGTTAGGAGACTGCTGATTACTCCTTCAATCTCATTGCTTGTTATTAGTCTGTTCAGGTTTTGTATTCTTCTTGGTTCAGTCTTGGTACTTTGTATGTATCCAAAAATTTATTCATTTCCTCTAAGTTTTCAAATTAGTTGCCACAGACTTGTTTATAACAGTCTCTAATGATTCTTTGCATTTCTGTGATATTGGTTGTAATGTTTCCTTTTTCATTTGTGATTTTTGTTATCTGGGTCTTCTCTCTTTTTTTTAGTTAGCCTAGCTAATGGCCTATTTTATGTTCTCAAAAAACCAACTCTTTGTTTCATTGATCTTTTGTATTGTTTTTTGGGTCTCTATTTCATTTAGTTCTGCTCTGATCTTAATTATTTCTGTCTATTAATTTTGGGATTGGATTTTTCTTGTTTTTCTAATTCTTTGAGGTGTAGCATTAGGTTGTTTATGTGAAATCTTTCTATTCTTTTGATGTAAGCACTCATTGCAGTACACTTCTCTCTTAATACTGCTTTTGGGGCCGGCCCGGTGGCGCACTGCTACAGTGCGCCGCTTGGGAAGTGCAGCGGCGCTCCCGCCGAGGGTTCGGCTCCCGGATCCCACATACAGACCGGCCGCTCACTGGCTGAGCGAGGTGCGGGGGCAACACCGAGGGTTGTGATCCCGTTGCCGGTCCCGGTCCGGTACGGGCGCGACACTGAGGGTTGCGATCCGTTGCCGGTCACAAAAAAAAGAGACAAAAAGGAAAAAAAAAAAAAAAATTCCTGCTTTTGCCATATCCCACAGGCTTTGGTATGATGTGTCTTTATTTTCATTAGTTTCATGAAATTTTTTGATTTCCTGTTTAATTTCTTCTTGGACCCATAGGTCATTCAGGAGCATGTTGTTTAATTTCCATTTATTTATATAGTTTCCAGAGTTTTGCTTGTTATTGATTTCTAGTTTTAATCTGTTGTAGGCTGACAAGACACTTCAAATGATTTCAATTTTTTAACATTTGTTGAGACTTCATTTGTGACCTAACATGTGGTCTATCCTGGAGAATGTTCCATTTGCTGAAGAGAAGAATATATATTCTGTAACTGTTGGATGAAATGTTCTGTAGATCTCTGCCATGTCCAATTGGTCTAAAAAACAGTTTAAATCCTTAATTTCTCTGTTGATTTGTTTCCTAGATGATCTGTCCAGTGCTGAGAGAGGGGTGTGCAGATCACCTATTATTGTGTTGGGGTATGTCTCTTTCTCTAGGCCTAACAGTGTTTGCTTGATTTACGTGGGTGCTCCGATGTTGGGTACATATATACTTATGATTGTTATGTCTTCTTGCTGGATAGATTCCTTCATCATTATATAGTGGCCTTCTTTATCTCTTTATGGTTTTTGGTTTAAAGTCTATTTTATTCAATATAAGAATAACTACTCCTGCTCATTTTTGCTTTCCATTCATACAGTATATGTTTTTCTATCTCTTCACTATTAGTCTGTAGCTGAGGTGGGTCTCTTGAAAACAGTACATGGTTGGGTCTAGTTTTTCAATCCAATCAGTTAGTATCTTTTGAGTGGGGAGTTCAATCCTTTTACATTTAGGGTACTGTCTTACTCCTGGCATTTTACTGATTTTCATTTGGATGTTTTAAATATTTTTTGTTCTTTTTTTTTTTTTTGTCTTTGATGCTTTTTGGTTTTTTTGATGTGGTTAAGATTTAAGTTTCTTTTTCTCATTTGCATTTTTATTCTACAAGTGGGTTTTGTTCTTTCTTGTGTATTCAAGATAGTGGTTATTGTTTTTCAGCTTGTAGATGCAAGACTCCCTTGAGAATTTTTTGCAGGGCCAGTTGTGTGGTGGTGAATTCTTGCAGTTTTAGTTTTCTAGAAAATATACTATTTTTTTCTCTCATTTCTGAAGGACAGTCTTGCTGGATATAGTATTCTTGGCTGTCTGTTTTTTTCTTTAGTATTTTGAATATATCATCCCATTTTCTTCTGGCCTGTAGACTTTCTGCTGAGAAGTCTGCTGTTAGTCTGATGGGGCTCCCTTATAGGTGACTTGACACTTTTCAATTGCTGCTTTTAGGATTCTCTCTTTGTCTTCGAGCTTTGCCAGTTTGACTATAATGTGTCTCGGAGAGGATCTTTTTGGAGTGAATCTGTATAGGGATCTTTGAGTGTCCTGGATCTGAAGGTCTATGTCTTTCCCAATACCTGGAAGTTTTCCATTATTATTTTATTGAATCGGTTTTCAATGCTTTTTCTTTTCTTTCTCCTTCTCTTTTGGTACACCCGTGATTTGCATGTTTGTGTGCTTAAGGTTGTCTACTAGTTCACTTAGGTTTTCTTCAATTTTTAAATTCTCTTTTCCCTTTTTGGTCTGCCTGGGTTATTTTGAAAGGACTATCTTTGGGATTAGAATTTCTTTCTTCTGCTTGTTCTAGCCTGCTGCTTAGGCTCTCAGTTTTTTAATTTGTTTAATAATTGAACGAATTTTTCAGTTCCATGAGTTCTTCTACATTCTTTGTTAAAGTATTAATCTCTTTGTAAATTTCCTGCTTCATATCCTGGATACTTTTCCTTGTTTCATTATGTTGCCCGAGTCTTCTTGCATCTCACTGAGTTTCCTTAAGATTGTTGCTCAGAATTCATTCAGCCGTTTCAAGGTTTTCCAGCTTTATAAGGTCTGGTACTTGAGAATTACTGTATTCCTTTGATGGTGTCATCTTTTCTTGGTTATTCCTATTTCTAGTATCTCTATGTTGATGTCTGTTCACCTGGTAGAACAGTTACTTCCTCTGGAGTCGGCTTTGAGGAGAGAGACTTCCTCTTCTTTTTCTGGTCTCTGCTGGTTACTCTCCTTGTGTCAGGGCAGTCAAGTGGGTGGTGGGCCACTTGTATAGTGGCTATGGCTGCTACTGTGTCGGCAAGCCACCCTTGCAGTGGCAGTGGCTGTGGTGGATCACCCACGTGGAAGTGGTGTTTTCAGTGTGCTCCTTCCTTCTGCTGGGCAGTGGAGGCTGCCCACAGCTCCTGCCTAGGACCCTCGGTGTGCTCTTGCCTTCTGCTGGTGGTGGGGGTTGCCCATGTGTCTTGCCAAGTTTAAGTTATTTTATTCATGTTTTTAAAAATATTTTTAAATTACAGACTTAATCTATACAAATGATATGTTACTACCACATATTTATACACTTTTTTATAGTTAATAGGCTCACAATTTTGTATGCTGCTTTTTTCACATATGTATTTATTTCCCTTTCTTATTAAAAATACATTTTTGATATTGCTTAAGCAATGATATAGACACACCATGTTTGTATTTTCTCTCAATTGGATAAAAATCCAGAATTTCTCATATTTCTGGTCTAGCAAGAAATTCAGGACTGGATTCCATTAGCAGATTCCATCAGGGTTACCTATGTCTTGGTATACTGTGAACGAGGTACAGTGAGGTTCTTCGCACATTCTGTTTCATTGCCTTAGAAAGTTCACTATGCTGACCGGACTTTTATCTCCATTTGTTTTAGGAATTGGAAATAGCATATGTTACCAAAAAAAAAAAAAAAAAAACCCACCAGAGATTAGCTTATGGAATTTTAAAAATTAGAATCTATTATGTAATAATAATGCTTCATGCAAATAGAGAAGTGCTGCTTTTCTTGGGGGTGGGGCAGAGGAGGTCATTAATAAAACACACTGAAACATTTGTTACTTTACTTGCACTTAGCAAACTTACTATTAAAAACCAAATATATTCTCCCAAGCATAAATCCCTCTACCAAAAAAGAACTCTATTTCTAAACGGTGTCCCTTTAACCATTTTAAATGGTCTGAATTATTTTAAGAAAGGATTTTAAAATTAAACTTCATGTTACTTTACATCCTTTTAGGTGGCTCAAATAGTCTGTGATCTGAAAGGATCCTATATTCTGTTTATTATAATTCTAGTAGTTGAAGCTTCCTCACCATATATATACACCACACACTTACCAGGAAGATTGACTTCCATTAAGTACTTCATACACAAGATGTTGGGATGAAGATAGCACTCTTTAGTTATGTCTGGAAAACGAGGCAAGTCTAAAAATGTGGCAACTTCAATCACTTTGTTATAGATATCCTCATAGTCAGGCCACGACTGAAATAAAAGAGTCAAGTTAGCAAAGCTATTTAAAAAATAATTATGCTTTTATGCAAAAGTAGCATAAGGTATTAAAATTTTTTAAATTATTTTAAAAGTAATATGTATTCATCATTGAATAAAATTTGGAATGTGGAGAAAGTATAAAGGGGGAAAATAGCCATAAATCCTTAATATTCTAACTGAGCAATTTTCAACAATAATAACATTAAATTAAAAAGCCACCAAAATTCTGTTTGGCTCATAACACTCTTACTGGCCTTAACCATGATAGTGAATACCATTACTTCTTGCCTTAGAGGAATCTGGCAGAAAGGATAAAGCCTCGACCCAACTAGAGTTACAATGTCATCATAACTGCTCTAACACACAACTTCCCTCTCACTCTCCTTCACCTGCACTCTCCCATTAATCTTCAAATTCACAGATAACAAATGCAACTCACTCTTACATAATATTCATATGCATCTATGTGGGAGATAACACCAAGTTTTGAGTCTAGTAGTTAAAAATCTACAATCCAACTTAACACTAAACTCTCCCACATAGAAGTATACAGATACTCTTATAAAATTCAGGCAAATCTATGAGCAAATATTAATATACACCTATTTTATTTTATTTTTGTTTAGTGGCTGGCCGGTAGCAGGGACTGAATCCTGGACCTTGGTGTTATCAACAGCATGCTCTAGCCAACTGAACTAACTGGCCAGCTCAAAGAAAATATTAATAAATTAATTCTGTCTATCACTTTAAGATCACCTTTGCAGCTTTTTGTGTATGCTATAATATTTCTGTAATTTATGAATATTCCTAATATTAATACTACACATAATTTTTTCCTCATTTACTCATCCATTCATATAAAAATAGTAAGTTTAGAGCCTAGTCTATGCAAGGTACGCTGGAAGGTACTTTGGGAAGTATAGAGATGAATAACAATCCCTCAAAGAGTTTACAATCTGGAAAGGGAGATAAGGTGTACATAAATACCTACCATACAAAATAGAAAGTTATCAGTTACCACAAGTAAGATATAAGCAAAAGGCTAATGGGATTTCAGAAAAACTAATATTTCTGATATGGTAGGACGCTGTTAAAATTCAGCCTGAATACAAACATTTTGGAAACCCATTTGATAGTGTCTATTAAAGTTGAGCATGTGTACATTCTATGACAAAGCAATTCTACTCCTAGCAACACATACCCAGAGATGCATATGCATGTCCACAAAAGACATGTACAAGAATGTTCATGATAACACCATTTGTAAAAGTCCCAAGCTACCCAAATGTCCATCAATAACAGGATAAGTAAATTCTGATCTACAAAAAATTCATAGAAAGAGTCATATTACCTTTTAATTCTATTTTTGCCTGAAAATAGAGGGTACTTTCTGAAGTACCTTCGTATCCTCATAATGAAAATTATTCAGCAACGAAATAAATGTTCTACAATTCATTCAATAATATGAACGAAACATTCAAAACATAATGTTCAAAGAAAGAAAGCAGATGCAAAAGAGAATGATTCCATTTTTATAGAGTATAAAAGTCAGCAACTCAATTCCAAACTTCTACGTCATTAGAAGTCAGGATTGTGATTACTCTTGGGGTGGGGCAGGTCAGGACTGGAAGGGAGCACATGGTAGAGCTTCTGGGGCGCTAGTAATGCTTCTCCACCAGGGGCTGGATACATCACTGTGTTCATCACACTGTACACATTTATGATACATGCACTTTTCCTATTTTACCTCAACTTAAAAAGGTGGTGGTGGTGGAGGGCAAGAACGGAAAGATAATACCAGTTAAGTAGACTATTCTGTATAAGACAGCTCTTCATACATCACGTTTCTGGAAGAAATAATCTAAATGGCAATTACAGAGTTGGAAAAAACCTTAAGAAGTATATGTTCCAACCCTACAAAATCCCTAGCAGAAGGATGTCTGGCCCTTTTTGTAAACCTCCAGTGATGGAAACCCAATACCTTCCCCAAGGCAGTCCATTTTTAATGCGTCTAAATCATAAAAAATTATTCTTTAGTCTTAGCAAATATCTGCCTCCCAATTTGAGTTTACAGTCAATTAAATCCCCTGAGTTGTTTTAGAAAATACTGTTCTTAAGTCATGTCTTGCCCATCTTCTAAATGTGTGAGACAACTGAAGGAATGAATATTTCTCTGTAAAATTTTACTCTGTTAAATTCAGCTCATATGCAATTATAAAGTATAAGGAAATGCTTTATAATGATACAGGGGTAGGTTTACAGAAAACTGTTAACTTCTACAATTTATAACTATGCTTAATTTTACCTACAATCTTTTTTGTATTATAATTATTTTGATACTATTTCAATATCTAATCTCTTGACTTTTATTAGGAAAAAAAGGCCATCAGTTTATATTATCAATATATGATTCTGTAGCTGAAGAATAAAAAGTAAGTTTCTGTCAATCCAAAGTAGCAATGCGGCTTTTTAACTCTTTTTTTTAATGTTGAGATAGAATAATTCTACTTATACCTTAAAATAATCTGAGACTTTAAAAGAGAAAAAAGGAGGGCCGGCCCGGTGGCGCACTGCTACAGTGCGCCGCTTGGGAGTGTGGTGGTGCTCCCGC